CCCGATTCCAATCACTGCACGCATTCTTGGAAGAAATTACGTCACGGATCGGGATCGTGCTGGTTGGCGTTTGGTACCTGCACGCATGTCGATTCTAGCACTACCTAAAAATGCGCTTCTTAGATGGAACATATGGCCAAAGGACGGGAGATATCAAAGCATGGCTGGCCAATTGGCTTCCAGTTGTGGACAAAGCAATGAGGGATGAGCATGCACGCAAGCAGCCTTCCCAAGCAGGGTAACTATGCGCCGATGTGGGAATCCCATAGCAATAGCGGGCGATTTAGCCTAGCGTAGATAGTTAGTCGTACAGCACCCTCCGGAGTTTTGTTCAATTTCTCCGATGGGGGGCTTACACTAGGCCCATCCTACTAAGTGGGCGCCCTCGTGCGCCTGAGGTATATGCTATGAATCTCCGCCAGGAAACTCAGTTGTAGGAACACAAGAACTGGGAGGGAGATCTCTAGTGATGGAGATCTCCTCCACTGGCTGAAAGGCCAGCTCAAAGAGAGCTGGTTCAATGCTACCCAATCACTGCTTCAGAGTACTTGGGGAGCTGGTTACATTGCCCTAGCACATACCACACAGGATTCTATCTACTGCAGGGCTGATGATGCTACTGGGTCTCAGGGGTTACTCTTTCTTTACTATCTTTCTTACTATAAGCTAAAAACACCATTACCACGATTTCACTCCAGTTGACAGAACTGGCTCTTTTGGAGAGGATATCCACAGTTGGAGATCCTAGGAGAGGACTGTTGGTCTGGAACATTCCAATGTATCTAGGCTGAAGGCTATATACTCTGGAACACATAGGCATGCCTCAGCTATATACAAATTGTCACATGGCTGCAATGCTGTGTGTACTGATTGACTGTACACGATCAAAAGCATTGTTTCCATCCGACTAAACCAGCACAGCTGTGGCACACCCATAGAGGCTCCTATTGCTAATTTCATCGATATGGGTTCGTCATGGCACCATTCAGCGGATCGTCTGACGAGGTGTAGCCTTTAAAAATAAAACTTCGTTATTTTTTAAACCAATCTACGCTTCGAAGCTTCTCCTGACAAGTATTTTGTTCCTTCACAAACTTCCCATACTGTATGCCATTAGGCCATACGCTCAAACAAGGTGGGACGAGCTAGATTTCTCCGTGGTTGTACCGGTCGTACCATTGAAACTCTTGTACAAAGCTGGACAAAATGTAGAGATCCTGCCCAGAGAAATTCTCGAGATTCTTCTTTAATAGCATCATTTCTTCTTTTAAATGGCATTGTATTGACACTTGGTAGTATTGTCCTGGCTTTGCCTGGCTACTGGTACTAGGTATGGGTAAGGTGGTGTTGTGTTGCTGCGTTTTTTTGTTTGCTGGTGCGATCTCGAAGATCCGAAGCCAGCAGGGTTGAGTGAAACCGGGACGAACCGTCCTGGTGGGGCGCTGAGAAGACTCCACACGGAAGGCTTACTTCAGGTACAAAACGTCCGAGCTACGCCATTTTGTACAGTGGCTCAGTTCGTGGCAAACCAATCCACTACCCCATGCATGGATGGTGTAAAAAGAATACAGTCGACTCTGGATTATATCAGGAGGGGGGAATTCCAAAAACTTCTGATATAACAGAGAGTCTGATATAGCACTTTTACTAGACTGTTTGGCCTAAAAGGGCGCCTTTTTGATCATATGGCCAAGAAATCTCAGTTCTGGTATCTAACTACACAAACTAACTATTTCCTACTAAAGAACTCAAGGAGAGTTGAGTCTCTCTTGGGACAGCTGACCTTGGCAGCTTGCATTGCCTTGGCAAATCGGTCTAAGTAAACAGTTGCACCTTCAGGAATGCCCAGGTTTGAGCAACTAATGCTAAGCTTCCTGAGACATTCCTCAGCCTCCATAAAACTCAAGGTATTCTTGCTGCTCTTTGTGACTTGTACAGGACCTCTGTGGAAACGTCATTCGTGGCAAACTACTTTTAAGAGACGATACACCAAGGCTTAGGAGACGATCGAAATGATTTAAGAGACGAAAGCAATCGTCTCCTATATTTAGGAGATGATTCATTAGGAGACATTCCATTTAGGAGACGATCGTTTCGAAATAGGAGACGATCCGAAAGATTTAGGAGACGATACCATACAGTTTACATGGTACACTTAGGAGACGATCCGTTGAGAATAGGAGACGATCCGTTGAAAATAGGAGATGATTTAAGATGAGACGAAAGATTTAAGAGACGATCCGTTTCGTCTCCTATTTTTAGGAGACGAAATCCATTAAATAGGAGACGATTAAAAGGATTTAAAAGACGATCGGTTGCACGACTCGAGTTTCCACAGAGGTCCAGTACATGAACTTGTACATGTATGCACACTATAGCAATAATCTCATTCAAATTTTACTAGTGACTGAGGGGGGGATCCCAAATAGTCCTGATGTAACAGAGAGTTTGATTTAGACTTTTCTAATTTAACGCAGAGTCGACTGTACTGCAGATTTCTCACTTCGCGGGTTCCAAATTGCGTGGGTTTTAAAAAACTTGAAATTTTGGCATAACTGACCACAGTTTCAAACAGGCCCTTAAAACAAGCCCTTAAATCTTAAACAAGCCCTTAAAAAAGCCCTTAACAAACAAGCTCTTATCAAACTATCCGTTAAGCCTTCCAAACAAGCCCTGATTCCAACAAGTCCTTATTTCGCAACCACGCACAGCCAGAACAGCACAACAGCAACCAAAGTCTTCTTCGGACAACAACAAAAATGTTATTCTTCAGCTTGACAGGCTCCTCTTCGAAACAAGGACAGCGTTGGATCAATACATGACTTCTTCCTTCTTTGGGTGGAGTGATCCAACGGATCAATCCATTGATCGATCCATCGAAGCCACCATGATGACGCCTCCTTTTCAACAGAGCGAGCGACCAACCAATCGACCATGACACCTCTACAACTCATGTCTCTTCCTCTGTCGACGATTGATGTATCGGGAGGCAGGTACATACATGCATACATGTATGTACTATGGAGTTGTCGACGGCCTGATCAAACAAGCCCTTAAACAAGCCCTTAAACAAGCCCTCAACAGGAGCAAACAAACCCCTAAACAAACAATCCCTTGGGGACAAGTCTTTAAATCTTTACAAAGCCCTTTTAAATAAGCCCTTAGAAAACAAGCCCTTAATTGTCGCGAACCTGGTTTTGAGTCAGTCATGGAACATTGTAAAACCTGAGCGAAAAACGTCGGACGGTCCTGTACCGGTACATGCAGCGGTTGCGGTACCGGTGGCCGCAAGCGGGGAGTAAAGGTGCCAGCATGCATGTAGCTGGCGCTTTCCTTCCGTCGTTCTTATCATACTGGTACCGCCACCGGCACGGTAGTAACCGTACTGTACATGTATTTACTTACTGTACATGCATGCACTGGTACCGAACGGTTGCCGAATGCATTAACTTCGGTGACGTGGTCTACGCAAGTCATCTCTGGACCCAACCTTTAATTAAAAACATCCGTTCAATGACGAAACTCCCCTTGGCTGTCAAAAGGGCGGCCTTTCATTGGCTCAGCTTCACAAATTGAGAAACAACCATTCCACTGTAGATAAAAGCCATGGATTCGGTACAGTGCGTGTACGGTAGTGGTCGAAATGCGCAAAACCACAAGGGAGATACACTAGCTCTACTAGCCAGCGTTGTTGCCCATTTCTTGGCATAAGAGCGCTATCATATCAACTCTCTAGAAGACACCAGCAGCACGAACTATGGTGGGATCTATCAGAATTTCCCTTTCAGACGCTCTAGCGAAGGGCATGAAGCTCGACGATATTGAAATTGTTTCCGATGACGATGACATCAGTTGCTGCAGTACGGAGTCTGATACGGTAAGCGACGAGGATTGCAACGACTTCAGCGATTCATTTGACAGCGAAGACGACGACGGAGATGAAGACAGCGTCGTGACTACGCGGAGCCAGGCCTTTGAACGATTGAGTCAAACGTGCATCCAAGCAGAAGCCATGCTGCGGCTTGAAATGGAACGCCTCGGCCTCCATGAAGGAAAGCCCGCATTGATCGCCTTCCCGCGACGTTTCAGTGCACCTGAATGCCTTGTGAACACGGGAAAGTCTGAGGGTCAAGTCGGCATTGCTGCTTAAGGGAGGTACAGCGTTTAAAGGCATCGAACCTGGCTGCAATGCTATGCAATACAAATCAATCGACCCAAATCGTTGGCATTGAGACGGATATTGCAGAAGATTGTATATACAAGCACATGGCGCGGGACAAACGAACAAGAACACACAACACACAACACACAACACACAACACACGAGCTACGACAAAGAAAATAATCCGAAGAACTGCTACTGCTGCTAATCTGCTACTAATTATAATACCATAATAGATCACGGTACATTTATTTCTACTACCGCTGCTGAAGAAATCGATCGTTCGACTTGGTGCCTTGGCGCGATAGGCATGGCCCAAACGGTAAGAATACATACACATGATGCGGTAGCCGTAGATGGATGTTGAGTGTGGGGAAGGGAGAAAGAGAAGGGCGAGTGCGGCGGTATCGGTCGGTTGAACTACTTGCAGTAGCGTAGAGGCACCGGTACGACTGTTGATACTGAGCGATTGCGTACGTGGGGGGCAGGGTAGGTGCCAAACTACACAGAATGCTCATGCACAAATGTTGTCGAGCCATTCCAGAGGAAGGAGACTTTGTGACTCGTTGTCTTCCCAATATTTAGCATCGTGTTCTACGACCATGCGCTCCATTTCTTGTAGCTGTTCAAGTGACAGGCCACTCAAATGATCAAACGAGCCAACACCAATTTCCTGTAAGGAGCCAATGCTCTCTTGCTTTTGGAGCATCTTTCTCTGGGGCACTTCACGTTCTTGGTCTTCAAAATGTTGTATCCAGCGTTCGCGAAGAATAGCACCCAAGCTTCCAAATTCCGAGTGGCTATGCCATGGCACCAGTTGCTCTGTTGGGTGGTCATTGGTGACATGCTGGTCAACAATCTCTGGTCTCGCGGCAGTGTTGGAGGCGTAGTCGTTTTGAAAGAACTGGTACCAGCTCTGGTACCATGCCTCAAGAGCAGCAAGGACATCCTCGTTGAAGACGATCGTGTCGATGGAAGTACCAGTAGTAGCAGTGCTCATGTTTCTACCTAGCTAGCTACGCCACGATGGCAATCTCCACGGATAGATTAGATGATTGTGAGAACAAGCAACAACAATCTAACAATTTGGGTACGGGAGGGGTCTTGTGAAACCGTTTCTTTCCGGTTGACTACTGTTCCCCCGAGTTCAGACTCTATGCATAGTAGCACCATCTCGCCAAATGCAGCAGTAGATCATCCGGAAACATTCTCCAGACCGAGAGATCTTTTGTCGAAACGATCCCGCACAAGAGCCTCGGAAAGTTGAACGGGAGTCAATTTGAAGAGGCATTAAGCGTTGTTCGCACCGGTACTCAAAGCATCTCGTTCTACAGGACTGTGAAATTTGAAGTTCTACTATTGTATGATACCAGGCGATGTAGGCTTCGCCAAGTCTGCGGGGAGTCCAACTGCCGATGCCGAAGGAAGTCAGAATGTTTTTGGACAAGACTACTAGACTACTGCTGGCTGAGACGAGCCTTTGATCCAACCTCGAAGAAACGGTGGAAGTGCGGGATCTGCATGTGGTAGTCGGATTTGACAACTATCCAGCGTGTGCAACATGTGGAAGCAAGCACTAGCTAAGCTTCAGTCTTCTGAGTTGTGGTTTCTGAGTTATGGTTTTTTCATTTTAAAAATCCAATCGCTCTGTGTGTTCCGTACCGTAGTGGTATGGTACCGTATCGGTACAGCCGTATGGTAGCAATGCTGCCTGTTTTGAAGGCCAATTGCTACACCTCTGCTCACTTTGTAAAAAACAGCTTAAGCGGCTTAACACTGCAGGGCGGGAAGGAAACAATGCGGGACAACAACTGCAAAAGCTCCAAGCTCTTTGTCATTTGTCTCATTAGGGGTCTCTTTGATGGTCCGCCATTCTGCCCAGCCACACATCCAATCCGTCGGACGGCACCATGAACACCAGCAACCTGGAAAGCGCATCCGTAGTAGATGTCATTACTATATTACCTTCGACTACACTACAAGTACCCTTGATTGCAGTAGAGGGTGCAGCAGTTTGTTCCTTTTGTCCGAACGGATTGCCAGTTCCCGATCCTGCAAGACGGTTTATCAATGTGCCAGATGACGCCCTCAACTGTGGAGGGTTCGAAGAAATGCTGCTCGCATTGGAAACAGATGAAGAATGCAATGCCACTTTGAGTCTCTTTCAGACATCCTTTGACCCAGGGGTGTTTTGTCATTGTCCCACTGCCATTCCGACTGGAGTGTGTCAATTGTGCAATAATGATTCCCATGTCGGTAACATGGACAGCAGCAATGACACTGCCATTAATGGCGTGTTGTGCAGTGACTATATGGACCTAGCAGCCGCTACCATGTCCGTGGAATTCTGCCAATCTATTCAAAGTGTCATTGGAATTGAAGCTTGTTGTGGTGTGACACAGATTACAAACACAACTACTGCCAGCGCAAACACAAACGCAACCTTTACTGTGGAGAAGTTCCATGTGGCAGAAACAAATGCTACCACTGGTACTAGTAGTTGACTCTGGGATACAGTACCATAGCAGAAGTACATGTGTGCTACGGGTGCCAGGGGCAAGGGTACTAGTACCGTTTGGTACCGGTGGTACATTTAGCGTGTCTCTGATATTAGTGGCCTCACCGGCTTATATCTTGCCGATGGACACACACATGGACCGCCGCAGCGGCAGAAGATGATGAAGACACCCGTGTTTAGTCTCCACCTTGTCATCAATCAATCAATCAATCAATCAACCTAATCATCTACCCGTAATATAAGTAGTAATGTCTGAAACAGACTCATTTGTAGATCCAGTATTCTTGGCTCGTTTTGGTTTGAGCCGTTGGAATGTTGTCGAGGTGAGTTAGTTCTATCTGGTTGATTGGGCCATGAAGGTGAAGAGGCCAGTGTGGTTTCTAAACGTGCTGTCTCTGGATACGACGCAGTACTTTTTGCATCCTTTAAATCCATTTCGGACCAAGGTGAATACAAGCAATGAAGTTTTGTCCATGCAGGGGGTTGCAGTTGGGGTGTTGATGCAACAAGGTTTGAGGGGCGAAGGGCCCATGACTCCGCAAGCTGCCGAGGAGGAATACAGCAATCAACTCCGTCAAAATACTGGCGAACAGTACGAACTCTTGCCTCCCACGGATCCAGCCATGTTCGCACTACCCTCGCCACTCTATACCATTCGACACGTCTTGAGAACCAATCCTACCACTGTCAAAGTTCTGGGAATTTACTATGTCGTGGAAGGAGTCATCTACAAGGCACCATCCGTACGGTCCTTGATGAAAGCCAATGTCGCACGCACACTGGAAGGACTCAGCGGAGCGTGTCAAGTCCTCAGTGTCTGTGCCAGATTCCAACCATCCACAGGCTACACTTGGCATTTTGAAGCCGATGGAGAAGACGATGCCACCGAGGCCGACTTGGATCCCGTCGCCCTACGGAAACTCCATCAGCGACGCAAGAGACGCAAAATTCTAGATCATCGGAGACCGGGGGAACGAACGGCAGCCGAAGAAGAAGGTATTCGAGCATCGGAAGCCATGGATCGGATACTAGTCCGGCTCAGTCAATCCTCTGCTGTTACGGGGAAGGACAAATCATAAACATTACAGAAACACAACAACCACACAGAAATTTGTCTACAACCCACGCCTGCTGTCAATCTCATGCCGCATTGTTTGCAACAGTGAAACGAATTAATGGTTCTCAATGCCTTTAAGCGTGGTGTTGATACCTGTACTAGCTAGCTAGCTACAGTATACGAGCTTGATCAATGTGGGGGGTGGATGTTTAGATGTTTGCTGGAAAAGTACGGTAGCAACTAATTCTAGTTATACGTACTCGCAAGTGGCAGGAAACTTGAGTTCCAAAACAACATCATCCGTGTCAGTGCGACTCTTGTTGTTTTTGGTTTTTCCTTTCACTGCTTTCTTCTTGTGAAATCCCAACTCCCGAAACATTGCCAGACACAACGTGGAGGACTTGGCACATGTACTGGGGCGGACGAGGATTGCTGGGTGATTGAATTTACGGCAGTGGTTCTTGACGGACTTGATCAGCGCCTTGGAAGCTTCCTTTTGGGCAGACGGTCGAAAGGCCACATCAAACAAATAGCCCGTGGACTTGGAATACGTGGCAACTCCCACAACTTGCATGCTTCGTCGGACCAGAAAATGCACATTGCCTTGTTTTCCGTTCTTCCCACCCTCCTTTGTTGTTGTTGTTGTTGTCGTGTCATGGTCACGAAGAAGCTTGGCCGTGGCAAGATACAGCGATTGGAGAGCGTCTACTTGCGCGCGGATGTGATCATCCCATACTTTTGATTCTTTGTCATCATCATCATCCAAGATGGAAACCTCCGTGTGTAGCATGAAGTCGTCATTTGGTACGACGTAGCCCCACCCATCTTTGATGCTACCTCCAGTTCGTAGCGACGCATTTTCGTCGACTGGAAAATGCGGAGTCTGATTTGAACCCATGACCAGAAATCGCCCTTTCCCAAAGTACTCCAACTCGGTAATGCCCGTATTGAAATGCACAAATGCCGATCCTACAAGTAAGTAAGTGTACGCACCAAAAGAAAGATGCAATCACATATTATGAGCATGGATGGATGAATGAAAGAAAATCAACAAACACCTACAAACCAAACCAACGAGGCAAACAATCGAGGCAAAGGAATAAACGTACTGTGAGGAACCCCTTCCTTCTCCACAGCATGGCCAAACCCCGCCACGATTCGTGTGAGAATGAGATTCATAAAGTCGGCATGCCCCACGAGAATGGCCTTTCGCCGTTTCCGCTGGCGAGGACTGTGTTTGTCGTGTTCACATTCGTTTTCTTCCCCGGGCACTGCCACTCCAGCATCAAAGAGGTCGTCTTCCTCCTGTTCCTCATTGTTGTTGTTGTTCGTACCGGTCGTCAACTCTGCATCTAGATACTCGGTCAACCAGAGAAAGAATTTGTCCGCTCTGGCCTCGGAATCCGCTCGTGTTTCGGGCACTTTGCCTTGGTAATACCAACCCTACAAAAATAATTGATGTGAGCGAGTGAATAAATGAGCAAAGGAATGAATGGATGTTGGTTGCTGTTGCGTGTATGATATGGAGGAAAACTCAAGCCACTTACTTACCCTGTTTGAATTAGAAGGAAACCCCACAAAGTCAATGTCTTCCTTGGGGTCGGCAACCGATTCCTCGAGAAAATTTGAGATATCTTTTGGATTCATGCCTTCCACTGATGACAAGAAATGATAGCTACATTAGTCTCCATTCATTAGTCTTTTTTTGTTTTCAGGAGTGGCAATAATAGTACTCACCAGCTTTCCCCTTTTCAAAGCACCCTCCCGTTTCATGATAGAAGGCAACTACCTTGACTCGACACATTTTTTGGTTCTTGTCAGATTGTTGTTGTTGTTGCTGTTGTAGTTGTTGGAGAGTGGGCCGTATGGTGAGCAAGGTTCGTTTCATGGGACTCGTAATGATGCGCACAGGATGCGATGCCTGATTGGCCAGATGTGACGTCCAATAGCTGGACAACCGTTCGACTTGTTGCTTTCCGGCATCGGAGAGTCCAGGATCGGGGCTGCGATGAGTTTCTAAATACTCTCTGCAACCTTCGGCATCAAAGTCGGACGTGCCGTATCCAAACTGCTGTCGAGCTTCTCGGTAGATTTGATTGTTGCGAGACTCGGCATGACGGATCATGTACAGAGACAAACTTCGTCTGCCAACGGAAACATTTGTCGTCGTTGTCGATGCAGATTCTTTCTTCGTGTTATTCTCCTTCGTTGTCGGTGTCGTGTTGTTCTTGGTGCCATCAGTATCAGTCAACTTTTCACCATTTGCTGTTTCTTGTCCTTTTTCTTTTTCTTGTTGTGGGAGGCCATTGGCATCTGCGGCCATGATCTCTTCACTGCTGTCGTTGTTGTCGTCGTCGTCGTCGGGCTTCAGACAGCACGGAAGACAATCAAAGGGAGACTGCATGTCATCATCTCATGCCAATAGTATCAATCAAAATAGAATAGAAGAGCTTTTAATTAAAAGAATACATTGGTGAAGGATGAGAGAATCCTTCAAAAAGTCCTTGGTTGTGATCGGCATTTTGCGAAAGATCCAAACAGCAATAATAATTGCATAGTTTAACGAATTCAAATTACACTTCTAGCTAGTCTAGCTATTAACCCTACTAGCTAGTTGAGTAAAAGGCTCGCGTGCAGTGGCGCGCACCTGTCGGAATGCGAAAGTTGTCTGAGAGAGCACAGCGGTGACAATGATGGAGAAGGACCGGCAGAGAGTGGACTCTGCATGTAGCTAGCTAGCGTAGACTGAAGCATCACACAGCCACGCCACACCAAAACGAAAGGCTCATAGTCTTAAAACATGTACGAAACTACGACGAGCAGCAATCAACCGCCCTTTCGAGACGTTGGCGGCGACCATCAGACGGTCGGTAGTGATTCTAGTAGTAGCGCCGAATTTCGGGCCGCCACAGATGCCTTTCAAGCTTTTCGTCCGTCTCTCTTTGTGTCGCTGCAGTCTCCTCCGGGAGAACCTTCCGAAGAAATGCAGCAACAACAGGCTGGTTTGAATGATACTCTCCCATCGCTCCACGACAAATCCTGGATTGGGGCTCGCATGTCTCCCATTCACAATGATCATGAGGATGGATCTCATAATAAAGAACAAGACAACCAAGACTATTACTTTCAACGACCACAGCATGCCACACGACAAGCACAACAACAACACCAACAACTCCCACCATTCTTGACCAATGCCGCCCCATTGGCGGGTCATCAAAGAGCCGAATATCCTCCGTTTGGCATTCATCCCTTGCAATCGTCAAACTACTATGCGGCAGCGCATCATCATCCTGCCTTGAAATCACCCGTATCCGCATACAAATCATGGTGGTCCACTGTATTGTGTCGGTGGGGAACCGTCGTCTGTTCCAGCGCTGCAATCTCTCTGATAGGAATGGGACTCTATGATGCTTACCATTCCTACTATTATGATTACGATGGTGACGACAACAATGCACAACAACAAGTTAATTCAGTACTACATGCCTGGAGATGGCCGTGGGGACAACCCTCTCCAGAAACCAGCCGAGTGGCGGGTGGACTGATACCCTCCCTCGTCATTTCATCGTCTTCCAATGACAACAACAACAACACTACGCTGAGTTACTGGAGGTTTCTGGCCTCTGGGCTTCAGTGTCATTCCATTGCCGAATTCATTCTCATGTTTCTCGGATGGTTTGTAGTGGCAAGACCCAGTATTCATACGCTTTCCACCGGCACCATGGCAGCTCTATACTCCAGCTGTACCATGACGGGGCAATCATGGATGTTGGCCGTTTGGTGGTTGACGTCAAAACAACAACAACAACAAGACGACAGTAGTACTCTCGTGGTACAGTGTGCTGCATGGGGTACCTGCGGTGTCTTGTGTTTTGTGGGGATGCTACGACCGCAACGGCGGTTTGGTTGCTTTGTGATTTGCATTGCACTCGTCGTGGTTTCCTTGGCACAGGCCATGTGGTGGCTTCCACCAACAACAAACCAACAAGAGGTGGACATTCAGCCGGGTAACCCTCTACCCATTGTGGTAGGATGCACTGCCAGCGCATTTTGTGGATGGGCTCTCTACGGAAGTCAAATGTTGATTGCTGTGCATTATGGGATCGATCGGCCTTCAGCAAAGAACAAAAACAACAATGCTTCGTTACCTGTCATGATGAGGAATACAACCTATCCACATCCCAATCAATTCGCGTTTGCCCGACGACCTCAAATACCCACAGCAATCCGCATTCTATGCGCTATTCTGGTAGTGGCAATGTGGGTGGCGCCCCTATTGGTCCTCTCCTATTTTGATTATCGATACTATGCTCATGCTGGTGATTCTGTGGATGACGACTTTGCAGCTACTGGATAAGTTTCAATATATTGTTAGCAGAAGCAGACGACAGCTGTGGTGGAATGAGGATGAAGCGAGGGTACCGACCGCAGAGCACTTTTGTTGCAATACGCGGAGAGTAGGTCGGCATTCAATTCAGACAACGAAAAAGGCGAAATGGATTGGGTCTGTGGCGAGCTCAACGAGTGGGACCAACCACATGACATCCAATGTGTGGTCCCTTCGCATTCGCTCATAGAGACTTTACGCCGAGATTATACAAGGGCAGGGTAAGCTGCGGCCACAACATTTCTTGAATGTGGTACGTCTCTGTGTATGTAGTTTTCTATTTGTAAATAGACGGAAATAATATGCTCGGGTCAAACCAAACAAAGCTAGCCCTTTATCCTTACTTAAATGGACACATACATACATGTACCAGACTATCGAGGGAAGAGACCTAAGGACGTCGAAGACGTGTATCCACGACCTGATCGTTGAGCATTGATTCGATTCATTTCACACTGCAGCCAGGCAGGAACTCAAAGGCTTGATGGAGATCCTCGCCCCGAGGAACCCGTATTCATCGCAGCGCATCAGCTCTGCAATTCTTTCTTTTTGCTTCGGGAAATTTCTTAGCACTGCGCGGTTCTTCATCTTCATTAAACGTTTTCTCGGGGTTGGAAAGGAGAGTAAGAGAGAGCAGAAAGCAGCAGGTTCCGAGAGCTTTGTAGAGTTTGTTTTCGCCGCCAAGGCAACCGCAAACCGCAACAGTTTGAATCGGGGGATCGATCCGATCCGATTGATTCGATCCGATTCGATTGTCCGATCTGTTCGATGAAAAGAGCTGAAGTGTGACCCAAAAATGGGCGGGCACGCCAACATCGCCGCACGCCGCACACATCGTGCTTGTTCCTTGGGCTTGCTGGTAATCGATCCCACACCGAAGATCTTGTGAGCTTCCGCAACAACTCCCTCCATAAAATCAAATCAAAGCAACCAAAAACAATCAAAAACTATACCATGTTCAATTCAAATATCAGGTTAATCGCTGCCTTCCTCGCGCTTGCGCTTACAAAAGCAAGGAGCGAGCAACTGACTTGCAGAGAAATCGAAGACTGCAACAGTTGCGTCCAAAATGGGTGTGGCTGGTCAGGTGAACACTGCCGTGAATCCTGTGAAGACATTCCTGGGTCCAAATGCTATAGCTTTTTAAAGTATCCTTTCTTGCAAACTGAACAAATATGCAACTTTCAAAGGGAAGAGAAGAAGGACTGGGACCTTTGTGCCTCCAACAACGACTGTCAGAGCTGTACTTCGACACACCTTTCAAAGACGCCAGGCAACTGTTTCTGGCACCAAGAACAGAATGGCTGTTTCCCAGGGGTTATTTCTGGCTGGTCAATTGGTACCGACACGTGTTCGACTCCAAGCAGCAGCACTGGGCCCGCTTTCTCCGCTACCTCTTCCACTGCCAGCACTTCCTCCTCCTCATCCACAAGCGGTACTATCTCCTCCTCGTCAACGTCAACAAGCACGGGCATCACTTCCAGAAGCTCAGACGCCGCCAGCACTGGTAGTGGCTACATAACTCGAGCTGCTGCTCAACCTCAGATTACGAAGCAATCTCGGTCATACAGTTTTCAGTCATCACAGGAAGCAAGCGACGCGTGTGCACAAGTTGGAACAGGCTGCAGCTCTTGTCTTGAAAATGGCTGTCACTGGGCTGCCAACAAATGTGTTGCCTCCTGTAGCAGCATTGCTGGTGCTGCATGCTTCAGTGCCGAAACCACTGGTCGGTCACCTGAGAGCATCTGTGCAGAAGCAGGCAACGACAAGCAAGACCATGAGCTGTGTTCCACTCAGGAGGACTGCAATGCCTGCACAAAAGCTGTGAAATCAGATGGGAAGAGCTCCTGTCAATGGTACACTGATGAAGCTAGTGGTTTGAGCTGGTGTGGAACAGGAGAATGTGACAGGTTCGGAAACTGCGGATCTGAAGCATGCCCTGTACCCCCCACAGCACCCCAGCAGCCCTCATTGGAAAAGTCATCAAAGGAGGTAGAGGACAGGATTAACCGAGATATCTGCCGCAGTAGCAGCAGCTGCGAGGAATGCACCAGCAGCTTGAAAGTTGACGGTATTAGCACATGCACCTGGTACATCGATGTGGACAACAAGGGATGGTGTGACGTTGGTGGATGTGATAGCAACGGAAACTGTGGATCTTCTGACTTCAGCACTTGTGCTGCTCCAACCAACGAGGAACGGGGCAATATTAGGGGGTTCTCTGCCACCAAAAAGAGCCACTACTGGCTTGAGGCCTTCGCTGCCCTACCCACTAACAATGCTCCAAAAACCCAGGAGCATGGCAACAATGGCGAGCCCTCTGCCAAGAACAGCCATTCCTGGCTCAAGGCTTTTGCTGCCGTGCCCTGAGAAGGTCTGGTTGCAACAGAGATCTCTAGATCCAGATCTAGATCATAAAGGATAAAAATAGAACCAATAATACAATGCAAGATACGGCACGCAGGGAGGTTTGTGGCTAGTGCCAGCAGACTGGCTCAGATCTCTCAATTCAAAGGCGTGCTTGGCTTTCGTCTACAATTCTATGCGAGTTGCACTGTGAGCTTGTTGGACTGCTTGAGTCGCAGACAAGAGAGACGGCTGGTGCCGGTAGATGTCGTTTGCGCCTGAACCTCAATGGCCATCGTCACAGAGAGACATTGTCATCACATGAATGAACAGTAAACCGAAGCTTAAGCCCACTGCTTGACTGCTTGAAGTGGTCGAAATGAGTTGTCGGGTGTCTGATGTGCTTCCATCGACTGTCCTGCTGACAATACATGTACAGAAGCGCGAGGGGGTCTAGAACAGGGAAGTTATATATACGGAAGCCGGCAGAGGGCCAGGCTTAGGAGGAACCGTGAAGGCAATTAGGTTCATCTGTATTCTAGTAATGGTTTTAAAGCACCTGTATGCTCTATGCCGCGGTAGCTGTGCGTGGCTGTATTCGTCTCTCTCTATCTCTTGGTATGGTATATGCATAATCGAACATGTTGTCGCTGTTGGTGCACAGCTGCTGCTGCTACAGGAATGCTGAGTGTCGTCCTCTTACATGAGTTCCATCATTTTGGAAATGGAAAGGCTGCGTTCGTGGCTGGGCACACCCGCCTCTCGCAGGAGGGCACTCAATTCGTCATTGCTCAGATGAGCATCTTTGCGACCAATGTTGTCCAAGATGCGGTTCAGGTTGTCCACTTGGAAAGTCTGATGGTCGGGTTCTTCAATCGCCTTGATCATGTGCTTGCGGAAGCGTGAAGGGATTTCATCGTCGAAACTGTAATGAACAAGAATGAAAATCAGATGGAAGAAACGGTACGTAAGTCAAAGGACTGCCTGGATGTTTCAAGAAACAAGAGTGTGCCGATGGATACTTACTTCTGGCGACGATACTCTTCGAAAACTGCTTTGAGCTTCTGTGCAGGGGCGCATTCGGTTGAGAACGCCTTTTTGCCGACCTTGGCCATGTTGGGGGCAACTCGTTGAAGGAAGATTCGTGAGGTATTCATGTTTCTTGTGTGTGTTAGGCTTGACTTTAGTATGGGAATAGCTGATGGAAGAGGCTGTTGATGATGTTTTTCGCTTCCGTGATTTTATGATCTAAGATGGCCACTCCGAGGAGCTCGACAAGAAGGCGTCAGCTCGGGCTGTCAGCAAACGTGATTGCCGTATACAGGCATCATCGTGTCAATGATACCGGTAGAACGATTGAGTCAGCTTTAAACGTGCATACTGGTCAAGAGTCAAAATGTGAAAGGAAGGAAAGCGTGACACGGATGAGTGTTGGTAATACAACTTGATACATGCATGCAAGTATTCGCGGCAACTGGATGAGGGCTTTGTAATTCAGGTAGATGCGGTAAAACAAAGTCCATCCAAATAATGAAAGTATCACACAACTTTAACTCTATAGTTACCGCAACTACCCATTCATAGTTGTCTTTTTTCTTCTGCCTTTCATCGCAGTCCACGGTAACCGGTGGATGTGCCAGAACAATCAAACCAAGTCTTACCTCTGTGCATGCATTTGGTACCAACTTCTAACATACCTACTGGACAAGTGCTTTCATCAAGAAAGTATCCGAGCATTGCATTTCTTCGGACCAGGACCGGAGGACAGAGGACCAGGACAAGTGCCAACATTCATGTGCAGCCTGCAAGCAAGCCATACGGACATGACCCCGTTGAAACTTCTGCTCGTTTCGTGCCCAACGAAGAACCTGCTTTGGTACTAGCTAGTAATTTCTCTCGTCGATCATGCGATGCGATGTATCGGACGACAATCGATGTACGAGAGTTAGCTCCCATTTTCCCCACAACATGAATGATCAGCAGGCAGAAGACCAGAAGGCTTGCTTCCTACGACCACGATAAGAAATTGCACAGTGTACGGGAAGACTCCGCTTGGTTCGTCTTTGGTACCGGAACTCTAGCCTGGAGGCTTGCCTCTGTCAAACACAGTATTTTAGCACTCTCACTTTTTGCTGCATTTGATGAACACTGGTAGACTCCGTCTTTGGTATCCGACGAGAACGTCTTGATAGACAGAAGTCTGTAAAGTTGTAGTTACATACTGTTACATGTACATCTACTTGCTAGCTAGCATGGGAGTCTTATCCAGTACATGTAATGCGTTATCATTGCTGTTGTCGTTTTGAGTTTGAGAGCACTGTTGGAATGGTGTATGTATCGCTCCGCTTGAAAGGGCAAACAGGGCGAATGCTAAGGGTTAGCTAGGTGTTTTTATGAGCTTGTTGTCGTGTCCCTGCCAATTTATTTTGTCTGTGGATGTCTGAGTTTTCACGGAACGGAAGGAATGGTAGTTTGGAGGGCACGGAAGGAATGGTAGTTTGGATGGCAGCGGACGGGGCTGTAGTTTGGAAGGATGGATAGGGACGTTTTGGGATGTTTGTTGGTCCGAATGATATATAGTCTGGCCTGGTCTGGCTTGGCATGTCAAGCAATTGTCGGAAATATCTATCATTGTAGTTTTTGGTGACAATACGGTAGCCGACAACACGGACACAATCTGTTTCGATCCCTCCACGGCAACAACCATTGCCGCAGACATTCTGCGTGATAGCAATGAACACAATTTGGATTGGAAGACCAAATAATTTTGTCGCCCGTACAATAGTCTTGAAAACAAATGGCACATTCTCCCGGCACAGATCGGAGATTGTTGTTGTTGTCGTCGTCATGGTTACTGCTACAGCATGTTGTATCATCGTTGGCAGTACAGGATGTCTCTTGGTCGCGCGCTTGTTTCCTGTCTTCGGATGGTGCATTCTCGTGCCCTGCTTTCGGAACGCGCCAATATGGAATTTCTTCCTTGTTGTCTTCATCCAGATCGGTGGATGTCAACACCTAATGAAAGACAGAGAAAAATAGGCGAGAGATGAGAAACAGGAGAGGATTTCAAGAATTCCCTAAACATGTTTTGCTTAGAGGTTATCAGTTACATAATTTTAATTACCTTGCTGTGGCCTTGAATGAATTGTTGAATTCTCTGTAGATGCATTTCATCGTCGAGTTTCTTTTGCTTTTGAGGCCATCTCCATGTCTTGACAAAGAGAATGCACACGTAGGCATTCAAAATGAGCGAGAGCAGCAGGAGCAGTCGTTCCAGTGTGCTCACAAGACACACGTGTACATAACTCGACAACGACTCCACGGGATGAACCAGAGCCTCTTGAAGAATGGATTGCCAGTTTTCATCCATTATCATCTCCATCGTCCGATTATTATTGAAATTTTGTAGCAAGATAGGTTGGTGGCAACTCTGCTCTGCTCTGAATTCTGGATTGACTAAGGAGGGTTGCAGCGCAAGCTACTAGTAGTACACAGTCTACTAGCTATTGAAGCTGAGATTCATGCAAAACAAATGAAATAGATTCCGTTGATGGTCGCTCTTCAAGGCAGAGCAGACTACTCGAGCTGTACTTGGGGAGGAGGTGAAGTAGCCCTTCCCGATAGCTTCCAGGAAGCAGCCAGTACGTATTCTAGCTAGTAGTTGGCGGGTGACCGTTGGCCCAATTATTCTCACATCATGCAGTGCGGTGGCAGGTGAAAGAGGCCTCCGAGGTTGAACTTCTTCGATTGTTGACGCCGTCTTGCGTCAGCATGTTGATTGGCGACCACGTCAGCTTTTCTCGCAATAATGACAAAAATTGAAGCGAGGTGCTGGCAAGGTTCTTGTTTCGCCAAAAGGTTCGGGGTATTTCCTCATTTTTATGAAGGTGCCGTCGGAGCCATTGAGAACATGAGAACCCAAACTGCAGGTGCAGGAAGAAACACTTCCCAATGCTGGAAGGCTGGAAGCTGGAAGGCACAACCAACCTCAAGCAAGTTTGTTGTACCGCACTTTCGTGCTTTGTTCAATTGGTCCCTACTACGGTAGTGTTGCAGTACTACCGTATATAGCTATTGTCCACAATCCACCCCTTTCTAGCTACCATACCGGTAGCTACCATAACGTGTCGCTGTCCTTTTTGAAATACCAGTATGGCCACAGCCGATGATGATGGCCGTGGTGTCAAAACAGAGCAAGAGACCCGTGTACAAGAGCTGGAATTGGAAATTGCCCGGCTGAGTGAAGAAAATGCTGCCTTGAAAAGATCTTCCAGCCAAACACAAAATGGGGATAACCACAAGAAGAAACGTCCACGAGGAGAGGAACTACCGGTAGCAAAAGGTACCAGCAATGGAAGCAATGGCGGATCCAGTTGTTATCAAAAGTGGACTCCAGCCGATACAAATTCTACCACCACCACTACTACTAATGGCAACCAAACACACAAGTCATCCTTGACTCCCAATCAAATTGAACGATATTCTCGTCAGCTATTGCTACAAGAAGGATTTGGAGTGGAAGGACAACGCAAATTATTAGCCTCTTCTGTGCTGGTGGTCGGTGCGGGAGGGATTGGATCTACCGTGCTGCTCTACCTAGCTGCCTCTGGAATTGGACGCATCAGTGTCTTGGATTTTGATGCTGTAGAACGATCCAATCTCCATCGACAAATCATTCACAAGGAACAAAATGTCGGCATGAACAAGGCAGTCTCGGCATGTCAGGCCATTCAGAATCTCAATCCATCCATTACCTGTCGACCCCTTACCATCATGTTGACACACGACAATGCACTCGAAATCATACAAGATCATGACGCCATTGTGGATGCCAGTGACAATCCCAAAACACGATACCTCGTGAATGATGCCTGCGTGTTGGCCGGAAAACCATTGATTTCGGGAAGTGCCATTGGCACGGAAGGACAGCTCTCTGTCTACAACTGGAAAAATGGACCTTGTTATCGATGTTTGTATCCCAAACCAAGCATCACGGCAGGTGCAAAATCCTGTAGTGACAATGGAGTTTTGGGACCCGTCCCGGGCTTGATTGGGGTATTGCAATCCTTGGAGGTTTTGAAAGTTCTAACCGATACGGGGTAAGAAAAAGCTATGTTGTTGGGGTTTTATTCAGTGCTGAAGTCATGCTATACTGATGCTTTTCACAATTGTTCTGACTTTCTTTACTTTACTCAGAAACTCCATGAATGAACGAATGCTCATGTACGATTCCTTGCAGTGTTCTTTCATGACTCTCAAAAAACCCAAAAAGCAATCCACAGCATGCCCTGTTTGTAGCGGAGAAAACGCCACTATCAAATCCATGGCAGACAGTGCCCAAGATTTGCAAGCCGCACGAGGACCTGCCAGCTGTGACATGTACACTCCTGCTCCACTCGAACCAGAATACCAGATTTCGTGTACGGATTACCATGATCTGCAACAGCAACGGCAACAGCAACAGCAGCATGTCTTGTTGGATGTACGAGTCAAGGAACAGTATGATCTCTGTGCTCTGAATGACCGTGCCATTAATATTCCACTCGCCAGCTTGGAGGAAAACATGGAACGTGTAGCGAAGCTTTCAGAGGGATGGACCAAACCAGTCTATTGTTATTGTCGTCGAGGTGTCTTGTCCGTGGAAGCCACAAAGCTCTTGAATGACTATGTGACGAAACAGAATGATCCGAGTAACAAGCCAACCATCAAAAACATCAAGGGTGGATTAGAAGCTTGGAGGAAGCAAGTGGACAAATCATTTCCCAACTATTAGAAACGAACACATGTGACTGTCATTCCGTGTAGGACTCGACTCAGCCAGCACAGTAATCGTAGTTGATTATTAGAGACAGCGAGAACTACTTGGCATTTAGTTGGGTACCTTATAGCTTCTCCTCCTCTAGTGCTACAGGTAGACCCATGCTGGCAGCATACTTGTTGTACACAGCTTCTGATCGATCCATCAGACTGTGGAACTTTTGGGGCAGAGTAATGGAGGCTGTCAACATGACCATGTCATCCTCTGGTCGAACCCAGAGTTCGCTTGGTTTGTCTGTGTCGGCAAGAGACTCCCAGACTTGCCGTCCTGCTCGGGTGTTGTAAAAGGGATGTTCGATCGTTATTTGATTCGAGCACAAGAATAGCCCCCGCCCGCGCAACTTGACGGCATCCGGATGATTTCCATCATATTCCTTGTCTCCCACCAAGGGACGTTCACAAACCCACGCCATATGCCTTCGTATTTGATGATACCGGCCCGTTTTGGGCATGACTTCTACCATTGTCAAGACATTGTCTCTCGCTCGTATCGATGGGACTTGCCTCACAATCCTCCAGGCTGTGACTGCCTGCTTGCCCTCTAAGGGATAATCAATCCATTGCCACGGGTTCTTGTCAGTAGTAATGGATGATTGTTGTTCGTCTGGAGTGGCATGATCATTATTGTGTTGGGGAACTCCATTGACAATGGCCGTGTAGGTCTTTTGTAGTAATCTATCGCGAAATTGTCGAGACAAATGATCCATGGCGGGTAATGTTTTCCCCACCACGAGTATCCCCGATGTGGGTTTGTCGAGTCGATGGACCGACTTGGGTCGTTTCAGTGCGGACAAGGTCCCCTGTCTGGGTGGTTGCAGGGCGTGTGGCAAGGCTGCTTTCACGGTCAAGAGCCCTTGTCCTGCATTCTTGGGTGAATACACCACAACACCTGCAGGTTTATTGACCAGTGCTACGTGATCGT